ACCTAATCCGCTCTTAGCACCTAGATATTACTTCTCATTTGGCCTAAAATCCATGGAGTCCCACAGACCAACATAAGTACATCCGCCCATCGTTCTAAAGCTTTTAGCAGTGTCGCCCGGTGCACTTAGCAGTCTTAACTCCTTACCGGCTCTGGACATGTGCTCCACAGACCTTCCACATCCTGCCTCTCTTCCTTCATTCATCCGCTAGGCTTTCCCCCACTTTCTACCCTACTAGCCTCCATCCTGACGTCGCTCCAACGTGCTGTTTTTCCGGAAGCCTTTACCAGTAAGTTACGAGTGAGTGACAGTATCTTTAAGTGTGAGTAATATTTTTATATTCTGAGGATATTTTTAATCTCTTAAGACATTCTACCATGTACTATAGCTATTTATTTTATTGTCTCATTAACCTCTAACCTACATGTTTATAGTTTTAGAGTAGTATCTTGTTAATTACTGAATAAGAAAGTACTGAACAAGACATAAAGTCTTGTGAGCTGTGTGACTTTGAGCAAATGATTTTATCCCTCTGAACCTTGGTTACTTAATTTGTGAGAATAAAGTGAGATGATAATACGTATGTGTATGTGCATATATATATATATATATATATATATATATATATATATATATAATGTAGAATCTCCTGCATGGATCAATAAAGATTTTTCTGTCCAGTGAGTATCGTTCATTTCTGTTTCCAATATATAATACTAACAACACAATTTCAGTTATACCAAGCATCACTATAATGGCCCTCAGGGAGAAGCTTGGTCAAAAGGTAAGGTAGGCTATCGTTAGTACCAACTAGAAGTTCAGGAGATCTAGAGATGGAAACAAGGCACAGCAGATACTAAAACAGGCTAGATATTGACCAGAAACAATTTAATTAGCTACCATTTTCCTATTTAGGGCTCAGGGGTTTTCTCTTCCATAGAGGCAGAGGCAGTTCTCAGTATGGTGGGCTCAAGCTCAAGCAGTTAATTATAAATGCCTGTTATTTGGCTCTCTCTGTATTGAAATTCTAATTGGTCTCTATAGTATTATTATGAAATTGGTTTTATTTTTTTATTTTTTATTTTATATTTATTTACTTTTGGTCGCATTGGGTCTTCGTTGCTATGCGCGGATTTTCTCTAGCTGTGGCGAGCGGGGGCTACTCTTCGTTGCGGTGCGCGGGCTTCTCACTGCGATGGCTTCTCTTGCTGCGGAGCACGGGCTCTAGGCACGTGGGCTTCAGTAGTTGTGGCTCACATGCTCTAGAGCACAGGCTCATTAGTTGTGGCGCAGTGGGCTTAGTTGCTCCTTGGCATGTGGGATCTTCCCGGACCAGGGCTGGAACCCGTGTCCCCTGCATTGGCAGGCTGATTCTTAACCGCTGCACCACCAGGGAAGTCCCTTTGAAATTGGTTTTATAATAATAACCCAAGGTTTGGAGCGGCCCCTAGTACATTCCTCAGTGAGAAGACTTTGCCCCTTCACTTTGTCTACATACTAGTGATAGGTATTTCTTATTCATCTGCCACAAAGTTGATTTTTCCAAACCTTCACTATAACTCATTTTTCGGGAAGTATTACTTTTCTGTCTTCTTATCTTCTTACTGACTTAACTTAGATTCTAATAATTGTTCTTACTGAATACCACCGTGTGATTCTGTAGAACTATGGACGTAATAAAACTGGGTGAGTTCCAATAGCAAAGAAGGAAGTATTAACTAATTTAATTGACAAACCAATGTTTCCCAGCCTGGTATACTATTCAGATTTTTGTTATAAGTTTGTGAATAAATTAAACTGTTTCTGCCCTAGGGACTCAAGTCAGACGTGGTTGTGGGAATCTTTGTCTTTCCCACACCACTCCGCATTTTAAAAATTCTTCTGCAGGAAGATCCCAACATACTATAGCTGTTCTTTCTTACGCAGCTAATTTTCCCTGGAGAGAAGCCATAGAAAATCCAAGTTAAGTTTTTTTCTAGTCTATTTTCATGTCACTTCTTCGGAGAGCTACACTCTTCGGTTAAATTGTCAATAAATATTCTAATCCAGGAAAAGGGGGACAGTAGGAAATAGGAAGGGGAAAGGAACAAATTCTTGGCATTAGCAGGCACACTAATGAATGTGTGATTAATTATTCTATATGAATTGCAATATTGTCTCACTTAAAGAAGCTTTTGAAAGTATAGGTGTGGTGTATAACTGATTCAGTTTGCTGTACCCCTGAAACTAACACAACATTGTGAATCAACTATAGTCCAATAAAAATTTAAAAAAATAAAAGTATATGTGTGTGTATATATATAAATAATATAATAATACTCAAGAGAATTGAGTATTTAATATATATATTGAGTATTTAATATATATAAATAATATAATAATACTCAAGAGAATTGAAATCGTATGTTCATACCAAGACTTGTTCATGTGCAGCATTCATATGCAATTTATATGAATGTTCATAGCTGCATTGTTCATAATAGCCAGAGGGTGAAAACAGCCCACATGTCTGTCAGTTAGTCAATGGATTTACAAAATGTGGCATATCCATACAATGGAACATTATTCAGCCATAAAAAGTAATGAAGTACTGATGTATGTGCCAGACACAAATGTCCACATGCTGTGATTTCATTTACATGAAATGTTCATAATCGGGAAATCCATAGAGACTGAAAGTAGATTTGTGGTAGTGGGGTGGGTGTGTGCCGGGGAGGATAGTGTGCAGTGTCTGCCGTGGCTGAAAGGTGTCTTTGGAGTGTTGAAAATGGTCTGGGATTTGTTAGTGGTGAGGGTTGTATAGCTCTTTGAATAAACTAAAAACCATTGAATTGTATACTTTACAATGGTGAATTTTATGGTATGTGAATTAGAGTTCAGATTTTTTTTAAAGTTTACCGAAGAACTAGATTCTTTGGTTACCCTAAAAGTATCAGGCCAGTATTTCATGTTATATAGACCACATCAGCTCTTAGTTCAAATATTGTACACAGTGGGGGTCATTTAGGTTCCCACCGCATCTCTATATGAGTAGAAATAGAACTGAAAAAGAATCAGGGTCTTGGAGTCAGAAATTAGGGAATTGTTCCTGAATCTTGAGTGACCATGGGCAAGGTGCTACCACCTTTATTCTGTTGCAAGAAATGAGGATCATATGTTTACTCTTGTCAGAGTTTTCCAAATCAAAGGGTTTCTGAGAGGCCGTAAGCTTCTTGAGGGCAGGTTTTCCAACAGCTTCCCACTGGGTCTTATACATGTAGATGTTTAATAAATGTGTATTAAATGAATGTTGGTTTAAATTGAGAAAGTCATGTGAGAGTGCTGTCTAAACTTTCTTAACGTCCTATAGGTATGAGATTTAACCGAAAGTATATACTGGTCTATTAGTGGAAACTTAAAAACAATTTAGATGTTCTATTCTATTTGCAAGGTGTTTTGTGACTAATCTATGGCCACACTGAATCAACTTCTTTTCTAGGCCTTCCAGTATTAAAACATGTGCTGACACCAAGAATAAAGGCAACTCATGTTGCTTTTGATTCTATGAAGAATTACTTAGATGCAATTTATGATGTTACAGTGGCTTTTGAGGGGACTGTGGATGATAAAGGGCAGCGGAAAGAAGCGCCGTCCATGGCTGGTAAGTTGGTTTTGAGTGAGTCATATATGTTTACCCAGGTAGAGTTTATTTTTTTAAAAAGGTAGGTGTATTCTACTACATTACATTGATATGGTTTCCAAGTATATATACTTGTATTTCTCACATATTTTTTATTAATCTGTAACAGTTGAAATTTCATTAGTCCTGCTAAGTTTGGTACTTCTTGGCTGTCCTGTCAGTCCTTGAACTTGCCCAGTATCATTAACTCAGCCTCTTTCCTCCCAAGGTTTACACCAAGAAATGGAAAAGTTACATAAATCTAAGGAAGGAGTGAGGCAGGAGAGTGGAACCTAGCAGCGCCGAGGTGAATCTAAGGAAGGAGTGAGGCAGGAGAGTGCAACCTAGCAGCGCTGAGGTGTGCACTGATGCTCAGTGTCTATCTTTGTATGTGTTTTTCATATAACATTGGTGACATGTAGTATCACTGACAGTTACGTGAATTTTTCTTTTTTTCAGCCATGTGCTAGGTATTAGGGACCTTTGAGCTACTGTTTATGTCAGAATAACCAGAAAAAACTAGAATTTTAAGCAAGCGGAATGTTTTAGTTAGACGTACCCACAGACACTTGTGATTGCTGTTGACGTTTGAACGTGGGGTGGGCACAGGAAGCGTGTGGAACTGCCGTCCCCTCCTCAGGGTGTCAGCTGCTGGGGGCCTCAGGCTTCGCCTTGGCAGCTGCCGGCCGTGGGACTAGCTTACTTGTCAGGGTGCTTCTCTCCGTAGCAGCTCTTGAAGGCGGCTGGCTGTTCAGAATGTGTTCAGGGGCACAGAGGGTAGCTCCCAGGGGTTGGGAGAGAGGACAGAGGGCTGAGGCAGGAAGGGACTAAAAGGTGGCAAATCTGATGGCGGCGGGAGGAGGTCAGACCTGGGGCAGCTGCACCTAAAGCAAGACCGACCGACCGCTCTCGTGACCGCCTTCAACTCCGAGTAAAGCCGGAAGCTCATGCTTTTTAAATTTTATTTTAAGTGTAATTCTTTGGCATATATTATACATCATACAGTTTAAAAATTAAAAGTATATAAAGTGTACAGTGAAACGGCCTGTTTCTACCCTGCCCACATCCACCTGGTCTCCCCCTTCCCCTCCGCAGCAGTAACCACTTTTCTTCCTTTCTTGTGTATCGTGTGTACAAACTTACTGTCCATCCCTCTTATAGAAAAGGCAACATATAATACTTTTTTTTCTTTTTTAACCATGGAAGGAGTCATTCACCCAGTTCTACATTTGAGGACAGTGCATTTAGTTATTCAGCAGTATTGCCATCCGTTTATCAAACGTTGTTCAAAAAGTAAGATTAAACACATTTTTATTGTTTATGAAAACCAGATCTAATTCCCATAATAACCTTTTAAAAATGCTGCTTTATCATGTCACCGTCCAGTCCTAGGAACTCGTGGGCTGGGCTGCGCCCACAGGATCAGCGCTGGCGTCCCGGGACTCAGCATCCTGGTCCCTAAGCCCCTCCTTCACATCGTTTCCTCCTACTCTGTGCTGCTCGCTGAGTGGGACCGCTTTCCTCACTGTCACTGAAACCCTCCTGCACCTCCATGCGGGCTCTGACCAAGGGCCGTGTGTAGGCCAGGCCACCTTCCCCTGTGTTGCTCTCATCCAAGTCTGCAACCTTGTCCCCATGAAGGCTTCCCTCGCTCCTCTGCTTGCTAGCTCACGAAGCTTCCTCTTGCTCTCCACTCCCGTGGCACAAAGTGCACGTAAGGTTAGCACTTGGCATATGGCTAATCTGCCCCCCCCAGGTAGATCAGAAGTGCCTTTGGAGGCAAACCATTTTCAGCTGTGTCTCCTGGGCTCCAGACCCAGCACCCCGTCTCGTTGCTCCACTTGTTCTGCACCGTAGCCGATGGGGCTTTGTGTGTTCATGACGGAGTGTCTCTGTTTTTGAAAAGGCTGTGGCTTTCCTAGCTGTCACACTCAGAGGCCATGTGGAAAACAAAATGTGTCATTTCAGTCGATTAAGAGTAAATATTTCCGCAAGGAAGACTACAGCAGAGTAAAACCAGAAGACCAAGCGGAAGGTTGCAGAGCAAAAGGCTGATTTCCTTAATGTACAAAGTGTTCCTGTAAATTGATATGATCAGTAGTAACTCAGTGGAAAAATGGGTAAAGGGCAAGAACAGACAGTTCACAGAAAAAAATTGTTCAAGCTCATTCATAATAAGAAAAATTCAAATTAAAACGTCTAATGAGATACCATTTTTTACTATCAGACTGGCAGAAATCCCCATGAACAGGTTAGATAACAGGCCCTGTGGGTGAGATTAAAGTATCTCAGAGACTTTCATGCTTTGCTGATAGGAGTGCAGTGCGGTGCACCCTCTGTAGAAGGTGTCCAGACAGCGTCTGTCACGTCTACAAAAGCATTTACATTCCCACTGCTGAGACATCATTCTACAAATATACCCGTGCACGTAAGGGATGACATCCGTTGTGTGTTGATTTCGATTGTGAGTTGAGACCTGTAGCTTGAAAAACTCTCATTATTACATAAACTGATTGATACGCTGCTCTTAGTATAAATTAAGATTCACTTTAAATTATGATGTAAGTCGGGTTAAGTATAAAATTCCATAACTTGGAATATTGTAGGTACCTTGGGGCTGAGTTTAATAAGTATTAAATGTTATCTCCATACACAGTGGGCTGTTATTTAATATTCATATTTGATAGCCCAATTAAAATTTTTTTTCCATAAAGTTGCTAGATTGTTCATAGATATGCCGTAGACCGGTGTTTCTCAAAGCCCTGTAGGAGGATCGAGGTTCCATCAGAGTTACCTGGGTGGCCTCAGCTGCACTGCAGACTGCTAATGGGCTCGCTGCAGCGGGGCTGAAGCTGCGTGCTGGTGACCCTGCAGGGGTCCTTGCGGTGGCCAGCATCTAGTAGCGTGGGTCTCATGAGGCCTCGTGTCAGAGAGGGCGACGGCAGGTAGTGAACCGTGTCCTTCCTGTTTCGTGGTCTGTTTCATTAGAATGTGGGTATGGCTCAGAGCCATCTGGACGTCCTCTTGTGGTTCATCTGGTCTTTTCAGCGGAGTCTGAACGCTTTCGTGGACAAGGTCCATTGGGCAGAGGTGAGACAGGGCAGTTTGATTGTAATTGATTTATAAATCCTGTTTTTAAGATGGTTGGTGTACCAGAAGAAATTGGGAGCTAAAGGACAACAATTGATATTCTGTTTAAGCGTTTTATATGGTTCTAGGTAACATTTTTGTCTTAATATTTTCTTATACGAAAAGAAAACATGTTCGGAGGGAAAGAAGGGAGAAAACTCTACAAACTCCCCTATCCAGATGCAGCCCCAGGCAACAGTTCAGATGTTTCCCTCAAAGTCTTCTTTTCTGTAATGTCTGTATGTTGGCGTGTGTATGTGCCTTTATGTATCTTTTTAAATGAGATTTTATATATGTATATATATATCTTCATATCTTGCTTTTTTTTCCCCTTAATAGTGTCATGAACATCTTTACATGTCAGTATATACACTTATGTAATTTTTTTATAAGGCTACGTAGTGTTCATTGGTGTGAATATACAACAATGTATCTATCCAATTTTTGTTGGATTTAGGTCATATTAGTTTTTTGTTTTTGTTTTCAGAGGGAAGGGGGCAGGTTGTAAGGAGGATGGTAAGCAGTATGGGCACCACCCGCGGGCCCGGCGTGCAGAGGCGCACAGCTCAGCCCGCACACATCCTGGGCCCCGCTGTCTGTGCTCTGCCTTTCTCGCTAGGCTCTCTCTCGGGACTCGGTCTCTGCAGAGACTAGACCTTGTGACATGTGTGGATACTTGGAAGAGTTTCTGTTTGGCCCTAGTGTATCAATATACTCTAGGGACCTGCTGGAAAAGCTATAGTTAGAAAACAATTACACCTTAATTTGAGTACTTTCCCCTACATTCCCTAAGTATTATGGATAATTGTTGCTCATGCCCTATGAAATGTGCCCCAACTAAAAGCGTTTTTACTAATATAGACACAAAAGCTTTATTGACTATCGACGAAAGTATTTGTTACTCATTTCTTATCTTTGGTGGGAGAACCTCCTGGGTGCGCTGAGAGTTGATCTGGTGCTTGTATGGTCTGTATCTGGACGCCTGACCACGGGGACTGGGCCAGCCTGTCTCCACTGCTGGCGACACTGGGCCTTGGTTCGTTCATCCCCACTGGGAGACAGCAGTCCTTGCCTAGAGAGGTGCACGAAGGTCCAATGAAGTGACGTGCACGAAAGCGTGGTGTGAATACCACAGTACTGTGTACATTTTAGGTGGGAAAACCTAAAAGCACCCATGCGAACTTCAGGGCCCTTTCCTCACGCCAGCATCTTACTAGAGGCCTTGCTGACACATCCCAAGCACTTGAGTTCACAAGCATTCATTCCTGACACTGGAAGTGCAGTTGGTTTCGTTTCCTTGCGGACTCTGTACGTCTGTGCATGGGACTTGGAATATCAAGGATAAACGCAGTGTCAGTTGGATGACCACTTAACTAACAGAAGTGTTGAGGGGCAGGCGTAGGTAATTAAGTGAAGGTAGGAAAGTTGGTGTCGGCATCTGTGTTTTTATGTATCAGAAATAGAAATAGGAGGGTGAGGTGAGAAGTCACGTGCAGCCAACAGATTCTGGCCAGTCACCTGCAGCACACGCGTGTGTGGGATCCCGTCCCACGTGCTCCCAACACCCTCACGTTGCAAAGAGGAATCAGAGGAGGTGGCTTTCCGTGGTTGGCTACGTCTTGTTTCCCTTCATAATAATGTAGCTCATGACACCCTCTCAGTCAGGGGCTGCTGCTATCACCTCCCTCGTACGGACGTGGAAACAGGCACAGAGAGGCTGACAGGTACGCGCGAGGCTGGTGAGGGCTCAGAACCCAGGCCGCTGGCTCACTGGCTGTGCTCTTGGCCCATGCCCAACTCTGCTCCTGAAAGCACTTCTTAAGCCAGTCTTTGATTTAAAGGGAAATGGAACTTGAGGAAAATTAAGAGAAAAATATTGAAAAAGTAAAATCTTCCCTGTGGCAGTGTTTTTGCACATTTGTCATCAAAGCCAATTCATTCCTAAAAGTGTAGAAAAAATGAGAGAATTTTTGATGACCTAAGTGCAGCATGTTACTCAGAGCAGTTGTAGCGAGCACTTAGCAGAAAGAGGTGTGTGTGGTCCAGAGGCGGAACCTTCTTTAAGGGTTAGCTTAAAGTCTTCCTCAAACTCTGCAGCACACTAGTCACCGCTTCTCAGAACGTGTCTTTGGACACATATCGTCTTGAGATAAAAGGTCTCGGCCTCCTACTTGCGTACCCACCCAAGGAACATAGTCTTCTCTTAAATCTCATGGCAATATTTCCTTGTTCTCCAGGAATTTAAGTATGTTAATATGCTCATGTCTCCACAGAAAGCCACCTGCAGAAAAGGGTATTTCTGGACTCAAAGTTCTGTCTTATCTTGGAATAAATCCTGACCTTATCCCTTGTGCCATGTGGGCTGAAAAAAGGACCATCTGCTTTTTTCAAATTAGCATGTTTTGGGAGCTGTAGTTATTGAAGGGCTCATAGCTATTCCACGGAAAGAAATTTGGTTCCCGAACCACGTAGAATACGTTACAATACAGCAAGGATCAGGAAAGCAAGGAATACCAGTGAGTGGAAACCACTGGCAAGTCACAGAGGAGCGGGGAGGACTGTGGGGCCGTGGAAGCAGGGCCCGGGCCGGCCCAGCACTAGGACCGAGGGGTTAAGTGCCCCTGTGCGCCCAGTGCTAGCGACACCCGTCGCTGCCCTGTGGGGCTCACCGCCCAGTGGGAGCAGCAGGGACGCGCGACGAGCCCTAGGCTTGGGACTGGAGGCTGGTGGCCCCGTGAAGGGGATTGGTGGGTCTGATGGTGAGTGGCATCTGGGGATCCCTCCGGACGGTGGGTCCGTGCTTCTAGTAGAGGCCAGCCTCCTGACCCTGGGCTGCCTGTCGAATCTACTAAAGGCTGTTGTGTGGAAAGTCACATTTGGTTGATTTAACTCATGACCTAGTTAACTATGGAAGACTTGGAAGTTATACTGCTTTAGCTTGAAACCCAAAACCACCAGTTTATGATCTTTGTTTTCTTCTTCTTTTTTTTTTTTTTTTGGCTAAAGAAAGAATCTGTTCTTCATTGTTTTTAAACTTTCTTTAAAGCTCATTTTTATCGTTTTATGTAACTGTGAATTCTAAAATAATAAAAATGAAATATTTTTGTTTCTTGTTAGAATTTCTCTGCAAAGAATGTCCAAAAATTCATATTCACATCGATCGTATAGACAAAAAAGATGTCCCAGAAGAACAAGTATACATGAAAAGATGGCTTCATGAACGTTTTGAAATCAAAGATAAGTGAGTAACGACAGCTCTAGCCCTTCAGAAACAGTGGCTCAACAGTCACTATAGTAAACAGCGTGAGACAAATGTAAACAGTTTTATTATCTTAAGAAAGCCTTTTATGAACTCAAGTCAGATCTCATTCCATGCCTTCTCTGTCCATGTTTTAAACTTGACTGTTAAAAGTCACTGTGAAAGATCTTGTTATGGGGGCTGTCCTTTGTTATTTACTGCATTTCAATAATTTGTGTATAAAGATATAAAATTTTTTAAAGAAGAGAGAGACACACAGAAAGCTTTGTACTGTTGAGATGCCCCAGGCCCGCCCTCCCGGGTCCAGGGGAGTGTGTGCGTGCTGAGGGCAGGCCGTCAGGCCGGCGGTGTGTAGAGAATCGGGCTGTCGGGTGGCTCACGTGTATGTGGAACTGACCCAGGTGTATTTGTTGGAAGAAGGGGCAGTTGACATTTTCACGAAAAAAGTGTCCTTTTGCTATTAGTATTTTGGGGCCTAAACCGTTTCTGGGGTTGGCCTTGTGTTTCTCCCACCAATAACATGACTTGGGAGCTAGTGCAGTGTTGGCCCCTGGCTGAGAGTTGCTGTGAGTTAAGTTCCAGGCGGGGCCTCTGGATGCCTCGGGAAGGCGGAGCTCGAGGTCAGATGAGGGTGAGCCTGTTAGTCTCCCTGTGATTTACACAGATTTCTAAAGGTAGAAATCTTAGAATTTTCTTCTCTTTTCAGGAAGATAAAAACTGGGTTCTTAGGTTTAGATATAATACTTAGAAATTGAATTTCCCTGGATGAAAATTTCAGGATATATTATTTATTTACTATTCGTTTTGTTTTCAGTGGAAATTTTATCCTTTTTGTTTTTTGAAAGATGTGTTTTAAACATCTATACTTTTTTTCCTCTTTCTGGAAAAAAATGGATCTGTGAGTTATAGGATGCACCATTTAAATTTATTAAGACCACAGTGAAAAGAATGGTTTTTTAAAGGCTTTAGAAAATATTCCAGGGCTTCCCTGGTGACGCAGTGGTTAAGAATCCACCTGCTAATGCAGGGGACTTGGGTTCAAGCCCTGTTCTGAGAAGATCCCACATGCTGCGGAGCAACTAAGCCCGTGCGCCACAACTACTGAGCCTGCGCTCTAGATCCTGCAAGCCACAACTACTGAGCCCACGAGCCACAACTACTGAAGGCCACGCACCTAGAGCCCATGCTCCCATGATCTTTGTTTTCTTCTTCTTTTTTTTTTTTTTTGGCTAAAGAAAGAATCTGTTCTTCATTGTTTTTAAACTTTCTTTAAAGCTCATTTTTATCGTTTTATGTAACTGTGAATTCTAAAATAATAAAAATGAAATATTTTTGTTTCTTGTTAGAATTTCTCTGCAAAGAATGTCCAAAAATTCATATTCACATCGATCGTATAGACAAAAAAGATGTCCCAGAAGAACAAGTATACATGAAAAGATGGCTTCATGAACGTTTTGAAATCAAAGATAAGTGAGTAACGACAGCTCTAGCCCTTCAGAAACAGTGGCTCAACAGTCACTATAGTAAACAGCGTGAGACAAATGTAAACAGTTTTATTATCTTAAGAAAGCCTTTTATGAACTCAAGTCAGATCTCATTCCATGCCTTCTCTGTCCATGTTTTAAACTTGACTGTTAAAAGTCACTGTGAAAGATCTTGTTATGGGGGCTGTCCTTTGTTATTTACTGCATTTCAATAATTTGTGTATAAAGATATAAAATTTTTTAAAGAAGAGAGAGACACACAGAAAGCTTTGTACTGTTGAGATGCCCCAGGCCCGCCCTCCCGGGTCCAGGGGAGTGTGTGCGTGCTGAGGGCAGGCCGTCAGGCCGGCGGTGTGTAGAGAATCGGGCTGTCGGGTGGCTCACGTGTATGTGGAACTGACCCAGGTGTATTTGTTGGAAGAAGGGGCAGTTGACATTTTCACGAAAAAAGTGTCCTTTTGCTATTAGTATTTTGGGGCCTAAACCGTTTCTGGGGTTGGCCTTGTGTTTCTCCCACCAATAACATGACTTGGGAGCTAGTGCAGTGTTGGCCCCTGGCTGAGAGTTGCTGTGAGTTAAGTTCCAGGCGGGGCCTCTGGATGCCTCGGGAAGGCGGAGCTCGAGGTCAGATGAGGGTGAGCCTGTTAGTCTCCCTGTGATTTACACAGATTTCTAAAGGTAGAAATCTTAGAATTTTCTTCTCTTTTCAGGAAGATAAAAACTGGGTTCTTAGGTTTAGATATAATACTTAGAAATTGAATTTCCCTGGATGAAAATTTCAGGATATATTATTTATTTACTATTCGTTTTGTTTTCAGTGGAAATTTTATCCTTTTTGTTTTTTGAAAGATGTGTTTTAAACATCTATACTTTTTTTCCTCTTTCTGGAAAAAAATGGATCTGTGAGTTATAGGATGCACCATTTAAATTTATTAAGACCACAGTGAAAAGAATGGTTTTTTAAAGGCTTTAGAAAATATTCCAGGGCTTCCCTGGTGACGCAGTGGTTAAGAATCCACCTGCTAATGCAGGGGACTTGGGTTCAAGCCCTGTTCTGAGAAGATCCCACATGCTGCGGAGCAACTAAGCCCGTGCGCCACAACTACTGAGCCTGCGCTCTAGATCCTGCAAGCCACAACTACTGAGCCCACGAGCCACAACTACTGAAGGCCACGCACCTAGAGCCCATGCTCCCCAACAAGAGAAGCCACCGCAATGAGAAGCCCACACACCGCAATGAAGAGTAGCCCCCGCTCGCTGCAACTAGAGAAAGCCCGCGCGCAGCTACAAAGACCCAGTGCAGCCGCAAGAAAAAAATACTTCCAAAATTCTGTTTATGTTCAGAAATTTTACCTGTGTTTTAGTCTTCTAAAATGCTTCTTCTCAGGAAACTGCCATTGTTTCTCCTCTCCTTATTGTATGGCAGTAAAATATTTCCTAATTAACCCTCCTAGATTAACAAGTGAAAGCTATTAAAAATGTACTGTGTTGAAAATGAAACTATATGAAGTTTATAAACAAATTTCTGTATTTCATTGACTCTCAATTGTGCATGACAATGTGTTAAACCAATTAATCAGCGCTACCCACTTTGGATATGGAAGAAATTTTAAACGTAGGATTTATGTGTTTTGACATGAAAATCTGTTATCAGAAAAAACCCTGAACAATATGGTTAATATCCTATGTATTTTGTGTTATAGGTGTTTATATGAATATTTAGAATGAGTCTGGACTTTTAAAACAGTGATTTTCTCTAGGGAATGTGAGTTGTAAGGCAACAGAAAGACTTTCCCTTTTTGTACTTTGTGTTTCAGATTTTTATGTTGAGTATATTCTGCTATTATAACTTTACATTTTTAAAATAAGGAGACTGCGTTAGCTATGCTGCTTTTCCTTCTTTTACGTGCTGTTGTAATTCCGTGCGAATAGGAGCGCTGGGGGTAACTCTCCATCTATGAGAGCTGCTGGTCTTTTCTCTGACTTGTGGTAGAACAGGAGCTGCGCCGAGGTGTGTCTGGAGGGGTAAAGACTGGGGGAGGCAGAGAAAAAGCCCACGTGCGTGTCAGGTCCCTGTGAAGTTGTAAAGATCTAAAGTTTAAAAAACAAAAACATCCCCATAAAATTACTTGAAACCATCTGTCTTTACATAGTACATATAATTCATATACATTAATCATAGAGCATATTAAAGATATTTTTAATGTCTAGAAACTCCAATTAAACCAACTCTCTGGGTGTTTCCTATAAGGACCTATAACTTGTTCAGCATATAATAGGCAGCCAGTAAATATTTGTTGAATTAAAATATTGAAATGGCTAAACCTGAAAGTGAACACTTTTTTTTTTTCATTCTGGCCATAGATTGCTTATAGAATTCTATGATTCACTGGATCCAGAAAGAAGAAACAAATTTCCCGGAGAAAGTGTTAATTCTAAACTAAGTCTCAAGAAGACCTTACCATCATTCTTGATCTTAAGTGGTTTGACTGCTGGTATGCTTATGACCGAGGCTGGAAGGAAACTATATGTAAAAACGTGGATTTATGGAACCTTAATTGGCTGCTTGTGGGTCAGTATTAAAGCGTAAACGCGTAGCTGTCTCCAGAGAGGCAATGGGATGTGCTACGTTGTTTATTACTGGCGGCTGCACATGACATCCGATTGTTCCTGAATTTAGTAAGAAGTGTAAATAAAGCCTTGTTGATTGAACATTGGATGAAATAGAATTTCTGACTAAAGCCAATATGCAGTTGGTCTTGGGCAAATATACATGGTTTTACAACTTTAGTCCAGAAGCTGCTGGAAAGGGAAAAGATAAACAGAGTTTATGTTATAGTTGGCATTTCCTATGAACCAATGTCAACTTCAGAAGACTATTAGGATTATATATTTTGTTACTGTTTTGTAATTCCGATAGCTGCATTCATGAACATTAATTTGCAGTATATTTCACTGTATTTGTTATCTTCAATTTTTTACAACTTGACTGGTCCAAACTCTTATCACTGAAATATTTAGTATCTTGCAGCTGTGTAATATTTTGCCTTGTGTTTAATTTCTCCAAGTCGATGAAAGAAATTGTAGTTAAGTATGGAGGACACAAGGAGAGGCTGAGGAATGCTGGTGAGGGGAGCTCTGGTTAGCAAGGACTTTTATTGTATTGTGTTGTTAGCCGATTTCACTTTATATTGGCAAAGTGATTAGCATCTCTGATATTTACTGAGACAGCTTCATTTGCACACCCTGTGCTCTATACAAAAGAATAATGTATAAAAATATGAGAATTAAGTTTAAGTTAAAATTGTGATCCTGATTCATTGTAGCGGATCTTTAAATTGCTCAGCGTTTTGAAGGTTTAAGCTAAGCTCCTAGCACTTCATGACATTCGTGCCATAAGTACTTGAAAACCTTAAGATTTCCTGTTATTTTTTATATCGAAATAATCAGTGTGAACCTTTGTTGGACCTGAGTCCACAGATATTTGAGATGGTCGGAGCTCTCAAACACCTGACTAGGTTTTGCCTGTTACTCTTGGGTTTAGCAAACTATTTAATCCCCAAATCATTTTTTTTATGTCGTCGTGGTCGGTTTCCACTGTTTTCGAGTTCTTTTCCTTTGGATCACCGGCAGGGGTGCTGCTCGGGGCTGGCACAGGGGCTCACGGGAAAGTGCTGTGTCGCCAGCCAGAGTTGGTCCCGATGCGGAGTTGAGCCTTTTAAGCTCTCGTGAGCAGCCCACCATCCACAGCAAAGGCATTTTGCATTCGTCTTATGTCAAGAAATCACCTTCCTCAAGCCAGTGAAGTACAGACTTAATCCATCAGGACGAAGTGAATTTGTTTCGTTCCCATTGGTGTTAATGGGGCCACACAATTCATCTGTATCACCTGAAAAGAAGAGCTTTGTTTCAGGAACCAAGTCACACAATTTTCAGTCATGGAACAATAAATCCCCTAGAAGAGGACCTTTTTTAAAGTGTGATCTGCTCTATTTTTAATGTTACAATTCAAGCTTGATTGCCTGCTGGTCATTTAAGATACCAGTTCTGCTTCCAAGTAATGGATTTTTATCACCATTTAAATCATGATAAACAAAATGGAAACACAAATTAAGGGAAATTTGGTTTGATTTTCCAGAACCAGAGTAAGCCATTTCAAGTAACCCCTCTGAAGAGTTGGGTGGTGTGAATTAGTTTGTGTGTGTTAGTATGTGTGTATGTATTGATACACACATTCCCACAGGACACAGTTGGCCTCATTATGAATGGGGGTGCAGGTCAAACTTTTGTTCTCATGCCAAACTGCAATTTTCTCTTACCCTGTAAAGTGCAATTTAGATCAATCCCATGTCTTCGTTAAATACTCTTTTTAGGAGTCCTAAACTTAGAAACTATTTCTAATTGGATCACAATAAATGTAAGTTGTGTAACTTACTTTGAATGTCATGGATATGTTCTCAATTTGAGTTTTAAGAAGCGATACCATTGGAATCATGCTGATTGTAACGGATTTGAAGAAGTCCCAGTGGCTGCATAATCACTCGACGGCATGTTTCTCGTAACTGTCCTCATATTCCCACAAAAGGTCCATAAAATATTCGTTTAAAATTTTTTTGTATCAAAATATTTGGAAAATTAGAAGCTTCTTTTTGACATGTATTGATATGACTTGAATTATTTTATGACATTAAGAGCCCTGTACACCTGTAAACCTTTTCACATAATATCATTTAAGCTTTTGTTTGTGTTACTGTTGATTTACAGCTTAGTTGGTACTTGGTTTATCTTTAAAAGATTGCAATCAATGTGCATATGCTTTTATGTTTTTCGAAGAAGGGTGTGTTGGGATGAAAGTAAAAGAAAGAATAAAATCTTTCACTGTCTCTAATGTCTGTGCTATTTTGTGACCCAAAAGTTCACCAACAGTCTCTTATTCCATAAAATAGGCTTCATGGCTGGCCTTGTGTTCTGAATATATAAAACTATAATAATTTTTCTTAAGTATTGGGCAGGTTTTTTTTAATACATTAAAATCTTCAAAAATTGTGAAGCAGTATATTTGGTAACTCATCCGTATACTTTATAAGGTGTGTGGCATGTTAATTACCTAACAATTCTGTAATAATCAGGTTACCCCACTGAACATGTCAGATGCCTAAAATGAGCCAGGTTGGTGAGTCAAGTGTGAATCTGACTAATCCTTACATCACACATACCAGTGATTTCTTTCACATGTATCATTTCCGTGTGATTTTTTTTTTTTTCATTTAGAATGGTACAGTTCTCCTTTATATCCAGATTATGTAAACTTTATCGTTTCCTTAGTAATATTATGTGGTTTATACTTAATGTTCACTGAATAGGTCCATGTCAATAAAATGATCTGAATAAACTGACCATTAAAACAAAGAAATAATATATAAAATTTTCCCATCAAGTATAGGCACAAAGTAACTGCCAGATATACATCAGACTCCCATTTGAGAAGATAGAGAAATGTCTCTCATAGGATTTCGTGTGTACAATTGCAAATTTATATAGTAAAATTAAACTGTAACCCTAATCATATTTGTTCTTGAAGTGTCAGATGAGGAAGAGGTTTCCTTGGCCCCTATTCCAGATGTCATCTTTGCTTATAAGTAGGTTTTCTTTTTTGGGTAGGGGCATGTTTTTATTATGAATTACACATATTTTTAGATTAAAGATTGGCTAACTTGGAATATTATGTTACCATGTAGTATAACTGGCATTATAAACACACTAACTTAACCTAACACCTAAGCATTAGACTGAAAATCGATACTTGGCCAAACTGATAATTGGAAATATTCAGATATTTGATGTTATATAGGTAAAATCTTCATTGACGGAATCTAAAACTTTTCATTCAGATATTTTGGAGTGCCATGTTTGCAGTCACTTAATTTATGTCAGTTTAGAGTAGTTATGATTTGACATTAATCCCTAAGATTTCATTGACACCTTTTCCAATTTGTGGATGATAAAGTAAATCCATTACTTCTACCAACTGGGGGGTCATTTTTGACCTCATTCATGCCTGAGGTCAAAGAGACAGATTCCTGGTTTTTATCCTGAGCAGAAAGAAAGAAAAAAAAAAAAAAAAAAAAAAAAAAAAAAAAAAACTTTTTCAGAAGGCGACTCTAAATAGAAATCTCAGTACCTTCTACTGTGGGAGAAAATCCGATGTGGGCGGCAAACTCTCAATAAATGTTTACTGATGGGGACGAGACAGGTCAGTCGTGCATCCAAATTAGTGACAATTCATGATGATCTTATATGTGAATATGTAAGAAAGACATGTTCTACGATTTTATTTTTACAAATCTTTACATCTGAAAAAAAAAAGTCAGAGAAGTTGCTATTGATGTTCTCTGTGTCCGGCAGGAGAGAATATTTACTAACAGTCTTGTCTCCTTATGGTATGTTCAGAATAAATTCTGACTTATATTCTTGGGCTTATTGGTGTTTCCTTATTTCAACAAAAATATAAATCTCAAAATTTATTCGGTGACATGAGATGGTAAAGGATATATTTGGTTTTAGTTACTTCATATATATGTGATATGTAGGTATGTTTTATTGACACCTGTAGCGATAGAATACTATATATTGTTTTAAAAGCTCATTTTCCTTTTATACTTGCCAAGACTTGTTGAGTGCTTCCTATGCGTTGGGCACCGTGCTCACCCACAGGCATGATCTCCTCTAATCCTCATAATAGATCCCGTGCAGTGGGGATCTGTTGGCCTTTGAGAGTAACAAGTCTGTAGGCGGACTGCCAGGTTTTGGGTCCTGGTTTTACCACTTGATATCTGATCTTGGGCAAGTTAAAGGTTAAAGTTTCTGTGACCCAATTTTTTCATCTGTAAAACAGCGATACTAATCGTGTCTACCTCAAAGAGTTGCTGAGGACTCAGTAAGTCGGTGCATCTGAAGCACGATGTGTAGTGCTTGGAATGTAGCCGCTGCTAAATAAGTCTTGTTCTTGGAAGGTTCCTCCTGCCCCCAGTTTTACAGATGAGGAGACTGAAGCTCAGAGTTTGAATAAAATAATACAAAGTCACATAACTAACACTTCGGGCAGAAAAATGTGCTCCCATTCTTTTCTGCTTAATGACGACGTAACACAGTACCTCAAGCTACCTAAGTGCCTTTAAAGGTGGATGATCGTTAACTATGATCATAGTTATTTAAAGATTACAGGTTTTGTTTTAAATCTATATCAAATAATCCAGAGATCGCAGAAGGCAAGATTCTCCATGTTTTCATAGGAAAGTCTCATGGTCTCTCCAAACTGACTCCACGTTGGTCCTGAGAGCCAAGGAGGTGCCTGTCCTTCAGGTTGGTAGCACAGCATCCTTCCCACATTGGTAAAGGTGAGGTGTAACAGCAGGTTCAGAGGGCTTTCCTTACAGTGGCACAGAGGAGCGTAATGTTTGAAATTATCCCACCTAAGTCCCCTTACTAAGGGAAATCACAAACTGTACAATAGTCTGCTTTATCACTACATGTTTATAATCTTAGAAAAATTACCTTCCCTGTTCGAGCCCTCCTTTATCTATAAAATGAAGAGAATACTTACCTCACAGAGTTTGGTAAGAGTCAAATGGGATAATGGTTGTAAAAATGCACTTAACAGG